AGACCTACGCCGCCTGATTTGGCGGAGAGGAGGAAAGCGAAAGAGGTTGTTTTTGGGGTTTTGTTGAATTTTTCGACAAGGGCCTGCCGCTTGGAGGCTGGTGTGCTGCCATCGAGGCGGAGGAAGGTGTAGGAGAGAGAGACGAGCAGGCGCTCGATCATGTCTAGTGTTGTTGTGTAGTTTGAGACTATAACAATTTTTTCCTCGGTCGTGGTGTAGATGGAGTGGACGAGGCTGTCCAGTAGTCGCAATTTTGCACTTGAAGCACTCGAGTTGAGGATCTTGCTGGGAATGAGTGGGATGATGGATTGCAGCATCTCGGATGGCGTGTCATCATTGTCCTTGGACGATTTGAGTAATGAAGGGCTGTTGCAGACTTTCTTTAGAACATTGATGAGCTGCAGCGCAATGTCCGTACTACCCAGCGCAAGTCTAAATGTTGGTGAGTCGAGAATAGCACGGTAAGTTTCCGCTTGTCCTTTGGTTGGCCGACAAAAGACAATGTGCTCAGTTTTCGGTGGTAGGTATTTCGAAAGGACTTCTGCTGTCCGCCGGATCATGAACTGACTAGTCAGAGTTACAAGCTCCTTCCAGCGTGCCTCGCCTTTTTCGAGCTCTGCTTCGCTTGCGTCCGGCTGACGACTACGCATAATGGGCAGTTCAAATGATCGCTTGAAGGCGGATCGTTGCCCAAGGAGTCCAGGGTTGACGAAATCGATGGCAGTATAGAACTCACCAAGATCATTCTGTAGTGGGGTACCGGACAAGATGATACGCCTCTCGATGTTCAGAGACTGGATAGCAAGCATGGCCTTGTTGTTCGCCGTCTTCAACCTATGACCCTCGTCTGCAATGACGATGTCGACACCACTGCCCTTCTTCAGCTCTTCTTGAACGATACGAAGCATCTCGTATCCCACAATCATAATGTTGTAAGACTTGCCCATGGTGAAATTGGCAATTTTCTTGTTCTTTGCATCCAAGACAAATACACCGACCCTCTCATTGCCGAGCCACTTGCGGAACTCACGTTTCCAGTTATCTACTAGACCAGCAGGACAGACGATTAGGGCTTTCTTGATAACAGGAGGAGAATCATGTATCGGATTTTGCTTCATCAGTGTCCAGAGAAGTGTGATGGTCTGAAGTGTTTTACCCAAGCCCATTTCGTCAGCCATGATGGCACCCTCGCCCTCGCATCGCATACCCATGACGCATTCATACAAAAATTGTACACCCTCGCGCTGGTGGTCTCGGAGGTGTTTGCTGAGAACCGGATCGACAACTACATCAACTATCTGCTTTCCTTTGGGACAGGAATCAGGTCGTTTCATGATGAGGGCGTTGGGTGCATTTGGGTCGTGACGGGGTTGCGGAATTGACGGGTTGCGCTGCGGCATGACCGTAGTAGATAGCAATGGTGTTTTGAATTGCTGCTTGCGATGAGCCGAGGGCCTGTGCTCGTGAATGCTCTCCTTATCGTTGGCAGTTTCTTGGGTCTTTTTCGAATTTGGCTTAACCGATGACAGAGACTTATGTCCTGGCTCAGGCCGCTTTGGCTGCTGTATTGGTGCAGCTGCAGCCTTGCCTAGGAACATACGTCCCGAAAGGTAATCCGCCTTCTCCATAGAATTCTCAACTTCTATCTCTCTTCCACCGATGGATAGTGTGGATCCAGGAAGTAGTGGCCGACTGCATGCTCCCTTTCCCAGCTCTTTCCCTGTCTCGCTGTCGTTGAGCGTGGCATATCCACCCACGACAGCAAGAACACCATCCCCGTCCCATGTCTTGTTCTTCTTGGTCGTGTGTTTTCGCCATAATACCGTATAATAGTTTCCTTCGAGACCAGGGGGTAGGAATTGTGCTGGTGCTGGATTGTTCATAGTGTTGAGCGGTTGGCGGTTGCCCGCCGACAGTGCATTGGATCCAATTCTTCGTTTCTTGCTCGGTGGCTCGCCATTTTCGGGACGTGGGCGCGAGAGGGTGAGAGGCCGGAAAGGTTTCATGGTGAGCAGCTTCACTCAACAACTAGCATCTCTGTTTGCGAGATGGTTGTTTGGGAGGCGACAAAGGTGGAGGCGAAGTAGCGGCAAGCGCGACGCGCCGAACCAAAACGCGGTCTTGCGTTATCACGTGACATTACCATATCACTCTATTCGATGAACCAGGATTGATTTGCGCTTGAACAGTTGCATACCTCAAGTGCTGTCTCTAACAAGCAATTAAATCCTATATCCGCCTCAAATTGATAGTACAATAACATCGCAAGCTTGTTATCCTTCTCTCTTCATCGGCATTAGCATGTTTTACAAGTTCATGACTTTGCTATCATGCAATGACCTTGTTCACTCCAGGACTATTGTTGATCCCAAAACTGTCTAAAAATAAGAGAGAATTGAGTATGGGTGTTGGGTGTGCACGCATAGTATGAGGGTGCGGCATATCAGGTGATGTATCCTTTCCTCTTTTCAATGTAGAAAACGAAACCGAGAAGCGGATATACGATGGCACGAGTGCTGTATATACCCCACTGAGGGGCAAATATTCTATTCAATGCTCTCCACACTTATTCGCTGTCTGAGTTTCATCTATATATACACAGAGAAACCCTAGGGTACGTCTATTCTAACAGTATACTGTATCAGGGGTTTGTTAGGCTGGTCAACTTATGTGTGTTTTTGACAACGCGATTTTTCATTGTAATTTTTTGTATTCGAATAGTGTTTTTTGACGCTACGCAGCCCATTTCAACTGGCGACACTACGGTCGATGCAACAGTGCGGGCAATGCTACGAACGATTTCCCTCAATCTTGACCTGCATTTGAAAACTCACCCTTGTAGTACTGTAGTCGTTAGCCGATGTCCGTTGCCACGCATAGGTCTGGAGCCAGACTTTCAAAAAGACCGCACTTACCTCGGACACATTTCTCGCCAGCTTTGGGTCCCTCAGTCTTGATTTTGCGGTCGGTATACTCCAGTTGTTGACACCCCACCACCACCTCCGTATCCGCGCGCCTACACCCTGTCCACTGAACTTTGTTGATCGATTCCAATGCCTCCAGCCGTTGAGGAGGAGGGTCCATAGAACACCCTGTGCAAAACACATTATGACCTATTTCTCATCAGCATGTGGATCCCACCAGAAATATGATAAGCGCATGGTACCTGATCTCGCAGCGTAATCCACAGCACACCCTTCCATCCATCTGCATGCTCAATGCTCTTCAAGTAGCTTTGTTCGAATCGGAGGTCTGGCAGCGGAGGCATTGCCTTGTTCCGCGGAACCGGATCCAACACACTGAGAGGAATCTCGTCTTCTCCAACATCAGAGGCGTCGGGATCGGGGTGCTCATTGAGATGGACTGGCTGTTTCTTGGATGCGGCGGTCGATGGGTTCACGTCATGTCGCGGTGATGGATGTCGGTTGATGGATGCGCCCTGCAGCACCGAGCCGACTTCTATGGGTGCGTCTGAGTCCATGGTATCTGTCGATATCTCTGGTCGCGACGTCCTAACCTAGAAACGAAGCAATGTACAGGTGTAGGACAGTGAATGTCCTGGCTTGGCGATTGACGTCGGAGGTGTCTGCGTCTAGCGCAGATGGACCCTTGGTGGCGGCAGGCGGGACCTCCAAGTTGGCGGGCGCACGGCGACACAACCAAGCCCAGCAACCCCACAAGCCAGGCCCTCGACCACTCTTACCTTCACCGCACCCTAATCCTTACCGCCAACAAGCCGCCAACATGGGTAACCAACAGTCAGGGCTGCTCGACAACATCGCCTCGGGCTCGAATTGTACGTAGGCGGCTGAAGAGAAGGCTCGCCTGCAAAGGGCCTGGCCAAAGGAATGCTTGCTGACGGCACGTAGTCGACCGCGAGGAGGTAGACCGCCTAAGGAAGCGATTTATGAAGCTGGACAAGGTGCGCAATTGAAGCTGCACCAAAAAGCCACACAGCCTGGCTAACTCCCACTCAGGACAACTCTGGAACTATTGAGCGTGACGAATTCCTGGCCCTCCCTCAGATCTCCTCGAACCCTCTCGCAACACGAATGATCGCCATTTTTGACGAAGACGGTGGCGGTGATGTTGATTTCCAAGAGTTCGTCTCTGGCCTTTCAGCCTTCAGTAGCAAGGGCAACAAGGAGGAGAAGCTACGTTTCGCATTCCGCGTATACGACATTGATCGCGATGGCTTCATCAGCAACGGCGAGCTCTTCATAGTACTGAAGATGATGGTCGGCAGCAACCTGAAGGACCAGCAACTGCAGCAGGTGCGTGTGCACACGAGTGCCAAGGCGATGAGCGCTTGAAGCCGTACTAACAATTCGTAGATTGTTGACAAGACCATCATGGAGGCTGACCTAGACCGCGATGGCAAGATCAGCTTTGAAGAGTTTACCAAGATGGTTGAGAACACCGATGTATCCATGAGCATGACCTTGGACCAATTTTAAGCGCTATTCCCTATCACAAATACAACAAAATCTCCTGATACGAAGGTTTTCTCGGCGAGGCGTTCACGGTGTTGCAGGCACACTTGGGATGGACTTGAAAGTACTCGATATCCATCGATCCAGGGGTTTGGTTCCTCAACATGAGCAGTGTGCGCGAGGACGCTGATATTGACAAGAGGCATTTGTGCAGCTCACTAGATGCAGTTTATCTTCACAAGAGATACCCAAGGCGGCCATTTCTCTATAATGCAGGAACGGCCCGATTCCGCTCCTACTCTAGCACCAAAACACCAAAGCGCCCACTTCTACCTGAGTTTACATATCATTTCAGTCTTGAATGCAATTTTGAAACACCTTCTTGATCATCATCCTCTATTGAACCTAACAACGACTAAACTTGACTAAATAGCGAAGAAATGAATTGAAAAGAGCATTCTAGCACACTTTCTTCAGGTTGTATGAAAACGCCTATGCAATCGCGAACCCTAATCACACAAAATTCCAGCACACGACTAGTCTGTACAGAGCAACTTCATGGTTGTTCTACCGCCAGATGTTTCCGAACTTTGCTTTCATACTGAACCAGGCTCCCGGCTCCGCACGCAGACGCGCCAAAAAAGCCTCAACATCCCTCTTGATGTAGTGCAAACTCCTAAGCATACCACCCGCACTCTCAGACATACCACCAAGTTCATTGCGAATCTGGTCTTCCATCGCAGCTCCAACGCCGGAAAACATGCTATGAATCTCCTGATACGCATGTAAGTCGTCGGACGCCCCCGTCATCAGCGCATCCAAACCCGGCGGCAGACACCCAATCGCCGTCATATGCGGATCCGACAGCGTCTGAAACAAGCCCTGATAAACCTGCAGTATTTGGAGCGCACGCTTGAAAACCCGTTTCAGCGGCGCAACTTCACTTACAACTACACTATACAAGACTTCCATCTTATTTAGCAACGCCCCTCGATCGTTAAGCACAGACCTAGCTGTTATATTCTCGTTCTCAAGCGTATCAATTAGATTCGTGAAGACGTCGCTGAAAGCTTCGCTCTCTGTCTCTACCTCGCACGCATGCGAGACTAGGTCTGCCAACCGAAGTTCACATGCTGCCAGAGCCTTCTTGTCGCGTTCGCGCAAGCGCTCGAAGTTCTCGGCCGCATGCTTGTTTTCTGACTGCAGTTTGTGAATGATGAATTTGTGCTCCGCTAGTTCGCGTTGGAGCTGCTCCTTCTGTGCTTCTACGTGGCTGACTGCTACCTGGTTTTTTGTAGCTTGCGTTAGAGACTCCTGGTAGCGAATTGCGCGCCGCTGCGAATCCTCTGCGAGGACTTTGTAGTACTCAATTTGGTGGTGGGCTTGGTTGAGATCGACCTGGAGGGTTTGGACGTATTCGGCGTAGTTGGCTACTTTCTCTTTGTCGTTTTCTCCCGCTTTTTCTTGGTATAATTCTTGTATCAGGATGGCTTGTTCTTCGAGTGCCTGTTGTAAAGCGTTGTTTTCGGCTCGCAGTTTTTCTTCTTTGTATTGAAGTTCTACGATTTTTTGGTGTAGTTCTTCGGTTTCGTCCATTGGTACGGGGGGTTCTTGGCTTTGGAAGAGACGCTGCGGCTAGGTCCCAAGTTAGTAGCCGGGTTTCTTTTGGGGAAACAGGTTGGAGTTTCATGGTCTGAAGGCAGGATTGAGCATATATGGCCTGGGACTTTAACATTGTTTAGACATTGTTGGTGCGCAGTGAAAACTGCCAGGTGAAGTAACCAGAGCCACTGATCGCGGCGCTCTTGAACAATGTATTTAACTAAAATGGTATGATATCTTGATAGAGAGATTCATTGCAAGGTTCTTAGCTCGCCTGTTTTCCAATTTCTCCTTGAAATGCAAAGACAATTAAGACACAAGCTGATACTCGATTGAGTTGACACCTTTATTCGAACAATATGTAGATATCTGAATCCAACTTCCCTCGTTACTCATTTTCACCGTAATCATGGAAAGACCAATTCTGCTTCAAAATTTCCTTGAACCGCGAATCGTCTTCTACAAAAGCCAGCCATTGCTCTCGGATCTCAGCTGCTTATTCAGTCAACCATGCAGTACTATGTACTTTTCTTCCAAAAACATGGTATACCTTAAGACCTTATCTCTAGGACCTTGCAGTGCAATGCTAAGAATACATATAAGTTTCTCCCTGTCCGTTGTTTGCTACAGGCTGTGTTCAGATCGGAACAGCTCTACCTCCTAGCCATACTGTGGCACGATACGTGATCGAGCTCAAAAGATCAGAGGGGCGACCCGCAATCGAGTAGATAGAAATAAGCTGAAGGTTGATCGTTGCAAAGGATAAATTAGAGAAGGTGCCTATCTACGTACGAAAGATAATCGTAATATATACTATACGCTTAGTCACGTGATACTATACTACATTTTCCTCCCTAGCTTTTATCGCTTAGCCCTCTTAAGCGCCGCAAAACTATC